CTTCACAAAGTGACCATCTGAACCTTTCTTCCTACAAACCCATTCAAATCCATCTAAACGGTTTTTACGCTTGACTAAACACATATCCTTCCTACATACAGGACACTTATAATGGCACACCAGTCAATTAAAGCTCTTTTCCCCTTTCGCTCCAAATCATACAGAAACTTCAAATTAATCTTACTACATTCGGCCATTCTACCATATAAAGAATCAAACCAACACACCACAAAAACGCTTACAAAACATCCCATGATTCAAAATTTCCCAGAATCATGCACATGATTACGTCAAAATAGGGTTTCCATAACATTCAACTACTCAGGCTAACATAAATGAAACAACAACTTGGCGATAATAAAACAACAATTTCGCCCATTTATACAAGGGTACCTTAAAATCTACTCTACCCAAATGGATAAAGGCATATCTTTCGTTTCTCTAACCGAATCCGAAGATTGTATTCCGAAATCTGTTTATCAATTTCATGCTGCTCTGCGGGGGAGGAACGTCGCGGAGCGCAATGAACTGGAAGTTGATCTGTTAGCATTATCCTTATCTTCAGGGCAGATGTTTTTATTTTATTCGGCTTATAACTTCCTTACTAAATGTAGTATTTTCATCTTCGATGTACTCCGTCTTTTGATATGATTTAAATCAAATTCCTAGTCATTATAAATATCACGAATACACATCAAATAGTTTTTCTGGTTGCAATTTTCTAATTTCGTCTATGCGTAATGTATGCTTTACGCATGTGCACATTGAAAGAAGTGTTTAATAAAGTAAAGAAATAAATATTAAGCTTTGTTTTTTGTAAATTTTGATACCTTTTAGATCATAATTGTTCTTTATTTCATAAATTACGGTTTCATATTTTTAATTTTATAATTTCTACAAGCCATCGTACCAGATTTAAACTGATGATCTATAATCCAGAAAAATCGATAATCCGGAATCACCGTAGTCTTGACGAGTCCGGACTTAAAGTGCACAATACCATACTCCTTACGCGTTTTTCAAAATAACACATACACATAAACCATGTACACGCCGACTTATTTTTACTTAAAAAAAATCCCAGAATTGCACAAAAATGGCATTGCGCACACTCTTCACTATATCCATGTACACTGCTTTTTTTCCATCAAATTAGAAAAATTTCACGAAAATACATGACATTTTCTCACTCTTTAAACCCGGTAAAAAGAACATATATGAAATTACCTGATCGCGAAAAAGTATTTACCCTTTCCAAATATGACATTTCCACATATAAAATAAATAAATATCCAAAAACTTTTACCTCTAAATCATCTATTACATTACATACACACGTCACCAACGAATTCATACCGCAAGCATTACAAATACTTAGTATCAAATATTTAAATTATTCCATGCACGTTTACTTCAACTTAAACGTATACCAAATTCCTACAAACATAAAATTCACAAAATAACTATCATTTATTAAAATATCACTAAACCACGTACACGTCGACTTATTTTTACTTAAAAAACATCCCAGAATTGCACAAAAATGGCATTGGCGCACACTCTTCACTATATCCACGTACACTGCTTTTTTCTCATAAATTAGAAAAATTTCACGAAAATATCTGACAATTTTCTCAATCTTTTAACCCCCGGTAAAAAGAACATATATGAAATTAACCTGATCGCGAAAAAGTATTTACCCTTTCCAAATATGAACATTTCCACATTAAAAAAATAAAATATCCGAAAAACTTTTACCTCTAAATCATCTATTATATTATAACAACGTAACCAACGAATTCATACCGCAAACCATTACAAATACTTTAGTGTCAGATATTTAAATTATTTCCATGCATGTTTACTTCAACTGAAACATATACCAAATTCCTACAAACATAAAATTCATAAATAACTATCATTTAATTAAAATATAATTAAATTCAAAAACACTACTTAAATATAAATGAGCACATACATTAAATTAATAAAAATTACCTTACAATCCTAATTACTTTAAAAAACTAAATCATTGCTAATAACAATTTTCCCAATAATACCAAATTCCTTTACTTCCACCTTACATTTAGAACAATGCATAAAAATAATATCCTCAAATAATTCAAAATACTAACTTCTTCAGAATCTTGATTACTAATCTTCTTCAGAATCTTGATTTCGTGTCCGATAAACTTTTCTTTAGTTACGGCCATGGGATCCAAAAATTCACGAACACTGTTTCACACAACACAGAATAAACCAAATACAAAATTTCCCAGATTTTTTTTCCCGATTTCCCCCCCTTTTTCCCGATTCAGAACCGTAATTCGTCCATTAATATCACATGACATATTCCATGATCTCTCATTTCCCTCACACAAAATAATGCGTAATCGGAACTGAGTACTGCTCACATTATTACCAAAGTCCCAGGTAGTAACCTTTATCGCCTCCAAAATGTCGCCAAACTACCAGTTACCATATTGTAAAGATCAACCAATTCATTACCTGTTATGCATGGAGGTGGAACCCTAATGATTTGGGGCTGCTTCGCTAATCTGGCATGGAAAAGTGATATAGGACAATATAAATATTCTTAATCTTAATTAATTAATTAAATATAAATATTCTTAAATCTTGATTAATTAATTAAATATAAATATTCTTAATTCTTTCAAAGCATCTGCAAGCATGGGAAGTAAAATGCATTCAAATTCTAGAAAGCTAACAATCCTAAACATACAGCCCTGAATATTTGCTTGTGATCATAATACAACTGTCTTGAAGTTGTTAAAATACCTGCATATTCTCTGGACTTAAATTGGTTAGAGTAAAGAGAAGGATACCCCTTGTATTATCGCTAAGTTGTTGTTTCATTCATGGTAGCCTGTGTAGTTGATTGTTATGGAAACCCTATTATGATGCATGATTGCGGTAAATTTGTAAGAGATTGTGTGTGTGTTGGTTAGGAAGTATATTGCTCGTTTTGTACTTTAGATGGTAAAATGGCTGAATTTGGTAAGATTAATTTGAAGTTTCTGTACAATTTAGAAAGAAAAGGGAAAAGATCATTACTTGGCTGATGTGTAAATGAAGGTTTACTTAGTAGCCATTATTAAGTGTCCTGTTCATAGGAAGGAAATGCGTATGGCCGAACATCGGATGATAACGGCACTACGGAGGATATTCTTGACTATTTTGTGAATTTACATGGTGATGCCAGTATTATAGAGATTCTAGTTCAGATAAATTTAGGAAGTTTTTAGATGCTGTTAAGGAATTTTGTTAGACTGAAGATATGTCAATTCGTAAATAAGGTAAGCGGATATTTCCTTTGATGAATTTCCGGCTAATCTTTGCAATATGGTAACAGGTAATTTGGCGACATTTTGGTAAGGTGATAAAGGTTACTAGCTAGGAGTTTAGCAATTAATCTGAGAAGTACACAGTTCGAATCACAGATTATTTTGTCTCAGAGAAATGAGAGATCATGAGACATGTAATGTGACATTTTCCCGAAAATTCCAATCGCGATTTTAGCTAATAAGCACTTAGAAACAATTTCGCTGCTAAAGTGCAGAATCGCCCACTTATTTGTTTGGCACTTTTTACAAAAGTAAAAGAATTGGATTTTTGTTCAATTTTGTTTGACTTTTTAATTGAAAATAGGTTGATGTGTACATGGATAAAGTCAAGAGTGTGCGCAATGCTATTTTTGTGTTGTGCAATTCTGGGATTTTTTTTAAGTGAAAATAGGTTGACGTGTACATGGATACCGTGCACATGCAATTCTTAAAAATGCAGCAAGCAGTGGGCGATTCTACACTTTCCCCCAATTTCGCACCTAATCTTCACCATGATTAAGCACTTTTGTTCCATAAAAAATCTAGTATAAGCTTAATTCAACTAGCAGATTGTTGGAAAAAATATTGAGTAAAAAAAAAAACACATGCCTTTACTTCGTAAAAACCAAATGACAACCAAAAAAAAAAAACTAGCAGGTTGCTGTAGCAGGGTTGGTCGCCAAAGTTTCGCCAAGTTTCCATAATCTGAATTATGGTAATTCACCAAATTTCCTTCTTTTATGTTATTTCATTGTTTAATTTAAATGAGATTATATATTTTTTGTTGGCAGCTCTCCTTTGACTTTGTCAGGGGAGTGTGCAATGCCTAATATGTGCAATTCTCTGATATTTTTTTAAAGTGAAAATAGGTCGATGTATACGTGGATAAAGTCAAGGGTGCATGCAATGCGAAGTTTGCGCAATTCTCTGATGTTTTCTAAGTGAAAATAGGTGATGTGCACATGGATACTGAGTTTGTGCAATTCTTTGTCTTGTTATTTTGGCTTTGTGTAGCGACGATTTTTGGCGCAAAAATCGTCGCTACACAAACCAAAATAACATCCTACAAAAATCCTCTAGGTGAAAAAAATCCCATTCCTAGATTATAAGTGTCACTCACACAGAAAAATGACAGAAGCAGCATTAATATAAGCCAACAATTATCTGACTATTTCTAAAAACAAGCGATATTCAAGGATTTTAATAACTATGTTTTTTACTATTTCAAATAAAAATGCAAAGTAATATTTAAAACACTGAATTTATGGATAATAAAATGCATTATTTTTTAAATAAAATGAAAACAAAGTACCGGTTACCATAAATAACTTGTCCTGCAATGAGTTTACAATAAGTAGTATCACTCGCCAAAAGCCGTGCAACCGTCTACCAAAGTAGCACCGAAATGTAAATCAAATAAATTATCAACACTCATAAACTGGCCAAGAAAATTTTGCACACATTGCAACAATAGTAAGGAATGCTTAGTGCAGTAAAGGCATGCAAATTCAAATTCTCCCAAAATGTATAGACTTTTTCTAGAATAAACACTAATGGAGAATTAATTTTTACTTTAATTTAAGCAAATTGTAAACTCACATTTTTACTCATTTCATAGAAAAAAGACCATCTCAGGAAAACTGACAAAGTACTTACTCTTCTTCCTGTTGCTTAATCTTAAAACTTGTTAGTGTTGTGGATGCTATGCTCAGTCAATATGGGATAGTTTAAAAACTTAATGATAATTCCAGAATTGATTAAGCATATTGTCAAAAGTCATCAAAACACGTTTGCACCGTATACTACGATTATAAACCGAAGAGGACGTGAACTTCAATGTAGCCGCTTTTTCACATGGCCCGGACCAAAGAAAGTCCCAGCCTTTCCTTTCCCCATCGATGACGAATAGGTGATAGCTTTGGGCTGTGTCTACCCGTACGACGTCGGACGGCTAGCTCAAACATGGTAAAAATGCTAAACGTACGACTAGTTGCGCAGAAACACTTTTGTGATTTCTGCGCATTCCGACCAGTCGTAAAGAGATGTTTGTTTACATTTGTGTTGTTTATCGGAAGGGTGAATTGCTTTTCCGTGTAGTGTTAGAATGTCAAGAAAAAGTTATTTTTTATTTCGTTTTGATGACTAATTACTATCATTCTTTGATAGATATCTAAAACATTATATAAAATAAAGAACTTTAAATATATCTGAATATTATTCTTGTTTTAAATTGCTAATGTTTGATCATTTTATACTGATGCGGAGTTTACACACACAAATAATCAAATTTCTTGAAATTCTTATCAACAGATTTAAATAAATCATGCATGCAAGCAGTAAAACCACATTCTTATGAAATGGAATTGAAAAATCATCTTAAAACCTTGTGTAACTTTTTCTGTCATGCGTAGCTAAATATTTCTATAAAATTGCATACAGAAGCATTTATATACATAAAGAGTGTGTTCAGGAGATTAATTCAGAAATGTATGTGCATATGCTTGTATGTACGGATGTAGGTGTTCATGTAGCATATGTATATGTGTGTACATACGTTTGGTGTGTGTGTGCACATACATACAGATACACATGCATACATACATTTTTGAATCCGGTCTCGAAAAAAGTCTTGCTGAAAAAGAATGTAAACAAACCACCCAGCTCCTTAAAAAAAAAAAAGTTTAGAAATTTTTTATGATAATTTTGGTTTCTACAGCAAACTTTTGTGTGTGGGTTTGTTTTAAACTCTTACAAGAACTCAAATTTTAATATAAAGACGTTAAAAATTTTGACCTTTTGATAGTGTACCTGATGATTTATTAAAAATACAATTGACTCTCTTATATTTAATATTGAAAAGAAGGAGGGGGATATGTACAAAATTAAAGATAATTCTAAGGTATTTTTTATAAATATATATGTGACTGATTACACACTCTGAATATAGAAAATAATCGCTTACAAATGACTTATGCAGTATTTGTTTTTTATTATCATATCCTGCCCCCATAAGCTCAAAAATAAAACTTTATACAGGAAAGAAAGTCATTTTACCTCCAAATATATTTTATGGTATTGAAGTATGATAACAGATGATTATTTTTTGTTAGAAAAATTATAATGTTATGAATATTTTCTAAAAAAAATATTTTTCCTGAAATAATTATACATTATATTCAAGCATATTTATATATTAATATATATATATATATATTATATTCAAGTAATAGATGACATATTTATATATTCTATTTAAGAAATAAATGGCAGCACTATGTCTTGTCATTAACTTATAACTTTATCAAAAGAACTTATAGGTTCAAAGCACCTAATTTCTAGTATAAGAACTGTACTTCGAATGTCCTTTTTTTCTTTTTTTTTTTTTTTTTCCCTGTAAGATTTTTTGCTTTATACTATTTACATGTGACATCTAAAAATGCTTGGCCTTTTTTTTTTTATCCAAATATCTAAATATGGAAGTCTGAAATAATGCAATATATTTGTATGTATATAGAGTAAAATATTAGTAAATTCTACATAAGTACATTATTATTCTAAGATAATGTATTTAAAAATATTCAGTTTAATGCAAATATGTGAATCAATTTATACATATAAATTTTAAGTGTATGACTTCTGTTGGATGTTTTAAGTAAACAATCAAAAAAATTAACCTTTTTATCAACTTATCTTGCACATATATACATTATTACTTTTTTTTTTTCCTATAAGAATAAACTTAATCTAATATAATAATCTAAAAATAAATAATACACAACATCTATTAAGGCAGACCATTTTTAGTACAGTAACAAATAATACAAGCAATATAATTTAATACTTTCAGTCGTCAGAGAATGAAGTGAGTTTTGTGAAGCTATTTAATGAAAAAATCTGAAAACAATTTTTGATGGTTCTAAAAGAATTAAAATATGTACATGAGATAAATGCCGTTCTTTTTGTTTTAACCCCTTTGAATAAATTTTAACCAATTTGATACTTTTTTTACTTACTTCTTTTCAAAACCTTGAAATACATGAGAAACTGATTTCAGGACCAACACATTTCAAGAAATATTGCTAACTGCAATGAATCAGCACACATGTATGACTTCATCAGAACCATCAGAATCTTGTATTACCTTTATTTATTTATTTAAAGTTACTAATGGATTTATATGTAGAAGAGCTGAGATTTCTAATACAGTTACCACACTGGCATTTTTAATGATCTTTTCACTAATGATTTAAAATCTCTATATTTTTTTATTATTATTCAAATGAAAAGTTTTTTGTTCATTTGTTTCCAAAATTTTTTTAACTGGTTTGTCTGGTGAACTCCTGTGAATTTTTTTTTTTTTTTTTTTTTTTTTTTTTTTTTTTTTTGAATACATTAATTCTGTAATTTGTTTGTTTTCAGTTTTTTAATTTCTCTTTTGAAAAGTTTTCTGCAGTTTAAACTTAATAGCCTTGAAACTTATGATCAACATTCAAAATCTAACTTCCATTTTAAATTTCAATGTTTACCTGGATTCATAACAAGTGTATTATTTTTAAAATTATTCAGACAACTTAAGAGCTCTGTGTCTTACATCTTCATAATGGTAGAAAATTTCATTGTACAGCCTATGTACATTTTAGTTTTGTCATGTCATGCCATTTGTGAAATATTCCTTCTCTCTGCTTAATTTTATTCCATATATAGAGATATTCAGTAAGTTTAAGCATAATAAATTTGTAGAAGATAAATGTCTAAAATTCCATTGTCAGTTTCCTATGCAGACTTAAATGCATTTAGTACAGCAATCAATTACGCATTGAATTCCAATATAAAAATATTTTTTATCACAGCCTTCAGATCATTCCTGAACATCATTCAAATCATCATCAGACTGCAGTATGAAATATACAAATACTTCTTCTGTTTTTGAAACAAAAAAGAAATCATTTGATGACAAGGTCTAGGTGAACATTGTGCATAGGGTATAAGCTGAAATTATCATTCCTGGAACAGCAATCTGGCAAATTTTAGTCTTGTGTGCTGCAGCGCGTTTTTATGCAAAGCGGAATTTTACTACTGCTGAGTTTGCTACACAGTTTTATAGTTAATAGGAATTGTATTGTATTATTACGTCAAAAAAATGTGAGAACTATCTGTCTAAGAGAAGATATGCCTTTTCAAAGGAACAATATAAGGGAAACTGGCTCTGATTCACTTTATACATGAGGAAAACAGCAAAATCTCCTCTGCAGCCAGCCTATTCGTCAAGATTAAACTCTGAGCGAATTACTAGCATTCAGCGGATTTACCTCTCGGCCGCTGGTGGGCCTAGTACAAGTTGAGTCAACAGGTTAGCGTAATAAACACCTTTTATCATGATATTATGTGACCTATAATCTATAAGCAATGCTCTTCATAAAAAATGTTAATTCTGTTTGCTTTCTGGATTCTGAACTTAGCTCTTGTTTATCTATTCTCTTGTTTTGAGATCTGCTCATCAAAACAGAGCAGCAGGTCAATTAAAGAAGGATATGCATGCAGTGCAATCATCTTCAGTACGATCTCAAGTCATAGTCACGTCTTTAATCCACCTAAAATCCAGTTCCAGTACTTTTCACTCTTTGAGCAAAAGTATAATTCCTGTTGGAGTCTAAATTAAGATGAGCTTCGGTATTTCAATTTTCTACTGAACTGTTTTCATTAATTAAATTGAATTATCTAATTTTGTTTCTTAATTTACATTTTATTTTTATTTTTTTTCTTTATTTTTATCTTTGTTGACGACCTTTCATAGTCCTTCTTCTTTTAGAAATTAAGTACTGACCACAATGCATTGAGGCATAAAATTGAACAGGCACTCGTATAATCCTATGGCAAACATTCCACACTTGCTAGATAATGTGTTTCACATTGAGGACATCGAAGCACTGAGCCTACGCAGGCCAGATAGAGCTTAAGTCACATTATTTTGATCACTGCAAAGCACGCAAGGGCTTTCTGCCTAAGAACAGGGATGCTTTTGTGGAGCACTTTTTAAAGGTTCGATTTGGTTTGTTTGATTTTAGAAAAGCACTTGAGGGCTATTTGTCTAAGAAGAGCAAAGATTCTTGATGGCTTCATGATGGACTTTTCGAAGAAAACTAGCTGGCATTCACATTGCGCAAGAGAAAACATCAAAAACTCCCATGCGACCAGCCCGTTCGCTGGAATTTCAAACCAGTCGAACTAACAGTATTCACCAAACCAATTTTACTGGTAGGTTTATGCTCAACAAGGGACATATTTTTGGAGCAGGTAGGTTGTGTAAGTGTCAGTAAATGACGTAGCCAGTCTTGGGCAATAAGCTATGAGTGGCGTTCATTATCCTACTGAAATATCGTACTTGGATTCTTTGTCAAGTATTAATGTATATTGGTTGAGACAGACAGATTTTCGCATGTTATGTCTCGTGTGCAAACAGTAATTAGAATGGTGCAAAGCATAGTATAACATCGTCGACGTATTAGACAATGAGAAATGTGACAACACTGACTAAGAAAGGAATGCAAAGGATACAAAAGCAGATTCGAAATACTTCTGTATTCTACTCAAATCAGAAGGTGAATGCCCATATGATAAGGGTAACACAAACGCAATTATCACTAGGGGATATAATCCTACTTAATTGTGATGCAGTCTCTCTACTGTATATTCATGCTCTGTACGAGATCGTCCACGAATTTCTGAGAAATTATGTTCAATTCTTCTTGCAGGGCTGATTACAGCTATGAAAGCATTGAAAGGCACTAGCGACGGGCTGTCAAAAGTCCCCAGACCATACACCATATATTAAGTTGGAGCATACGACAGCCTTCAGAATGCCTACGCTAAGACAGGTGCTATATCTTCACTCCTTAACAAGCTAGCGACAGTTGGTATACCATGAAGTGTAGCACTATTGTTCGCGAAGAATCTTGGAAAAGATGCACGTGAGGAGAAGAACATTAGCACAACTGCAGTCAGTAGTGAATTAATCTTCTTCAGATGTATGGAGCTATCCTTAAAGACTTCAAACTCCTTATTAGCTGAATGCTACTCAGATGGCTGTGAAAGGGGGTGTATGATGCGCCGGTCGCTAGAGGGGCGCCAAATGGTCTCCAAACAAGATTTTCATCATATATCACTGTGTTTTTTTTTTTTTTTTTCGGGAAGGGGGCCGCCAAAAAGGTATTTTGCTCCGGGCGCCAGTTATGCTCGCCACTCCACTGGAGCTACTCAGATCTTTTGTTTGCAACACTACAGAAGACACTGCCTCCGACGAGAAGGCATGAAAGTCCGCAAAGCGATCAAAACACCATCAGATTGTTTCGTAGTGATATCAGAGGTATAGCTAGAGACGGGCGAGGGTGGACAACTGTCCCTGGGAGTAGTATCAAGGAAATGCCATACTGACGAAGTTTTAGAATGAAACAGTTTCCATACTTAGAAAACAGAAGGGTGTACGAAATCTGCAGTTGTCTTTAGGCGCTGAAAACTATAGCCAAGTCTTTAGCCATATTGGATGTCCAGTAATAGATTGCATGCATCTTAGGATGTCACCCACTGTCACCACCACCAGATGATGGGAGTCATTAGCATAGATATCGCATCATCTAAAGACGGCTCTCCAGTGGCCGAGCGGTAAAGCCGATAAACTCGGGCCGGGGTTCGAATCCCGGCGAGCAGATTGGCTGCTAACTAAGCGTTTTCATGGTTTCCATATGTGTAACCTATATACAGTCCAATTTCCCTTAGAAAGTCTTTCACGAAGCCATCCCTTCCCTTAGACAGGTAGCCCTCGAATGTTTCGCCATAACTAAATAAACTGAACCCAACTCATCATCTGTAAGAGAAGATATCAGTTCTTCATATCCTGGCGTGGTTGTTTGTGGAAAACCACTACCAGAGTTGGATTAGCCATTAAGGAAAGTAAGCACGTGCTTAGGGCATCAGGTAAAGGCGGCGTTACAAAAAGGTGCTTAAAGATTCAAAGAAAGAGTGCAAAGGCTCCACAAAAATAAAATTCTCACTGCAGATTTTAGAAGGGAATACATAGTGCAGTTAATCCAAGCCCGAGAAAGAGGGAATGATGAGAAAGAGGCGTTATACTATAGATGGGTATGTGGAGGCAGCAAAATCTTTGAAGTGCTACGGGCATATAAAAGTCTAATTTGGCAATGAGCATTACTAAACATTCAGATAGCTGCTCCCTTTGTTCGAAATGTAATCCAAACTACTGACATGATGTGTATAGTATAGTCGCACTTTGGCCTTCTTTCAAACTTCCAGACAAAGTCGTCCAGATATTGTCTATAGAACTGTCACGCTGAGACTACACAAATCGATGTTGTTAAAACCAAATGTACCGTGCAGTAGCTTCCGTTCATGTTTTGAGCATACACCATGCTTTATACCCTCTCCTACACCCCATAGATGTCATGCTACGTATATGTGCATGCTGTACAATACCGGACCCTAAGTGATCTCCTAATTGATCTTTTTGTTGCATCTTCTTGTTTGTACTAACGTTACATTAATTTCTCCATTTCATTCTTAATTTTTATTATTTATATAATTGCAGAACTGATCAGCTATCGTGGATGACTTCTTAAATCGCAATATTTTACAGGAGCGGAAGCACGCTGTCCACTAGGAAGGTTGGGATTTATGCTACTGACCGGGAAATTCGCTTAGCTACATATAGGAACTGTGTGCAGCCAAAATAAAATAAGATACTAAGTCACTAATTTTCTCTTTCCTTACCGCTTGGCTTCGTGTTCTAATTAGAAGCACGTTCGGCTGGCAATAGGGAAGTCCAGAATGCAAATCCTGGGGCGGTCATTCGCTGATATTTTCTATTTCAAATAAATACCTAAAGGCTCAACCAACTAACCAAGTGGTTCCCAAACTAAAATGTGGTAGAGACGATAATTCTTCACCACCAGCAGGTGGCGATTAGGTTACCACCTCCCCAACTGCCTTTTAAATGGGGAAGAATGTACGGAATTTTCTTTTTTCTCTCAACGCATGCTTTCATGATGTAATTAGAAGCACTTCTGGATGGCAGTCTTTAAGCCCAGATTTCGAATCCAGGATAGGTCATTTCTATTTTTTTTTTTTTTTTTTTTTTTTCTTTTTTTTTTTCTTCTAAATAAACCTAATATTATACATCACCATTCTATGGTGCTCTACACTCATCTACAGTAGCACAATCGCAAATAGAGCTACCAGTGCTTTAATATCGAGATTAGTGTACATAGTGACTCTGAAATTGCAGTTTCGATGGTAATGGTTCAGAGGCACATGTTCTACTGTAGTGTGGATTAGGTTAACATGTCTTTCTGGAGCTGTTTCCAAAGCAGAAGGGTGCTGATCATTCTACAGATTTAAGGCGAATGATAAGGCCTTTACCGAAGCTTATAAGTTGGGTAAATCAATGTCTACATGATATTTTTTCTGATTACATACTTTTTGTTTTGTGTCATATGGGGACAAACTGTATACTAGTTTTTATGCCTGCTTTGAATCAGACACTAATTTTTGTTTGCAGCACCACTATAGGGTTTGCAGTCATACCCTGCTACACGACACTTGAACCATTAGCATCTATGTTCACATATTGCTCAATTGATTTATTAGTTATAGTTTATGTGCATACATTTCTTTGTCATATGTGTATGTATTTTAATATGAATCTTTTGTAAAAAATAAATTAGACTTGCATATATGCATAGGCAAGCTAGTTTGCTATACGAAAAGAAAATAAAATTAAAAACCCTGTTCCTTAGACCATATCAACTGGCTGTTTACCCAAGTCACATATATTGCTATAGCACCAGATGTGAAATTTAAATCGACCACTTCATTTGAAAGTTATAAAATGGACATCTGTATACTATGTTATCTTTTAGTACATGCTCAGCTGTTGAATTTTTATGGCAAAGGTCCTGAGGGCTATCTGCTTAAAAGAAGAGATGCCCTTCTTTGAGCACTTTTTGAATGAAACTGACTTGTATTCGTATTAAACATAGGGAAAACTGTAAAAACAGAGATGTAGCTAACCCATTTGATAGAATTCAAACCTAAATTGTATCACCAGTATTCTGTGGTCTTATCTATTCGAGAACCGAAACCGGTGGAATTCTTCTAAAGCAAGATTTTGGTTTATGTTTGCATATAGATATTACTTATGCAGTAGATCATTATCAGACATATAAAAATAGTGATATCATTGAATGAAATTTAAAAAAATAATAATTCCATTTTGCTACAAACTTCATACACAGGAAACAAGAGAAATAATGCTTTGAATTTTGCTCATCAGAAGAAGCATTAAATAATACAGCACTTTTGATGAGCACAGTTAATTGGTGTGTATATGTATTTTAATCAGTGAGCTGTTCTAAAAGATGTTTCATGGAATGGTCAGACTTTCTTAATTTCTCAACCAGACTAGCAGCATTGTTCATCTGACATGAGACAAACTTAAATTAAGATATACATAATTTTTAAAACAGGGCACATAAATTTCTATATAATGGCTAACATAAATTATATTTTATGTTAGCCATTATATAGAAAACTGGCTAAATAAACAGAAAATCTAAAAAATACAGCCTCCTATTCCACAAACAAAAAAAGGACAAATAATCTTAAAATGAACTCAATGATTGCAGACTATAGTAATAACAATTTATTCAAAATGAATGTAGATGCAATATTTTACTTTTAAATATGTCAAGAAACTTGTAGTGATCATCCAGCTAATTCAGTTTGCTTTTAAAAAAGTGTGCATTGAAATAAAAAAAAAAAAAAAAAAAAAAAAGAATTTAAAGAAAAAGAAACAAGAGCTTTTCATTATTAAAAACTGTTATGACCTAGAAGAAATCTAATCATATCCTTTCACATTACCATCCATGCACACCAATCACATAATCATCCAGCTAGTTGGAGAAAAATGGTTTTAGGTAATGAATGTATTTTGCTTTTTTAATTCCCCTGATATGAAACTCAGCCAGATCAGATTCATGAATTTAATTGTAAAATACGGGTATTGAGAAGCAACTGTCATTGGCGAAGGGCTTGGGCATATTGTAGATGACAGTAGGAATCTGCCCAGAAGCTGGCCCATAGTTATCCCTATGGGACGGACGGATAGAGGACTAATGTCAATTTCAAAAATATGTCTCTGCAATAATATTTTATTAAATTAATTATGTGAGGTTTGTTTGGTGCATTATGAAAAATGAGCACTATTTATGAACAACTTAAGATACTTAACAGTAAATTATCATCACATACATCACAAAAAAGAAATGTATCTCTTTGAGTGTGCATATAGTGAGCTTGGATATATATATATTTTATTTAGTATTATAATATATTATTCTTTTTCATATTTTTATGTTAAATGATAATTCTTAAATAGATAAGAATGAATGAATTTATAAAAACAATCATCTCAACCTTTATAATAAATGACACCTAAAAGTTTTCTCAAAATTTAATACAGTTATTCCCATACATGTTGATTTGGCATCCATAGTTGTTATGGCCAAACTATTATAATGCAAATAACAGAAGAAAAAAAATGCAAAATGCATTTTAAATGAGAACAGCCAGTCACATCATGCCAAAATAATTTGTACTAAAATTCCAATCATAAGCAAAAATATACAAGTATAAAATAAAAAAATATAAAAAAATATTGTTCTGACATCAAATACAATACTGCTTACTTTGCTTATAGTACTTAACATTTTATTCAGGGTTAAATTAAAACATCAAAATTCTCAACATTAGAGATACAGAAAATATATTAAAAATGTATATGATATAGTATACAATCCCAGCATGCACAATTTATCAATTAAATTTGACTTCCTTTATACGTATTTTTCAAATCATGAGAAACAGTTTTTGACTGATTTTTGTGATGAAACACTAGAAGATATTTTCCAAGAAGGGATGCTTTAAGGCAAACTGGCTTGCATTCATATTACACGTGGAAAAATCATGACGACGCTTATGCAGGCAGTCCATTCACCAGGATTCAAGCTATTAGTGTTCAGCTTCTCACCAGCTTGTCCACTGGCACACAACAGCCTCTTGTAATACATTATCTGCAGACATGAAATCCTTCTGTATTTATATGAAAAGAAAAAGTTATACATTCAATATTAATTACAAAACCCATTTTCATACATGCCTACTGACAAATTATAAGTAATCCTCAACTCATGATGAGTATTGTTCCAATAGTTCCATCATAAGTTCATACTGATGTAACTCAGGGTCTTAATAAAATTATACCTTGGTATGTTTGATTATATTGTTATGAATAAAGCTTCTGTTTCACATGAAGTAGGGTTTCACATGAAGGAGGTATAAACTTATGTGACATTTATAAACAATTTTTTTTGCATACATTCACATGAATTTTATAAAATTAATACATATACATCCCTTTCATTAGTTGATAAGAAAAAAATATATACAAAATTCTTTTAATGAAAATAATGGATAAGTAACTGTTACTTATTTGAAAGAATTATTGTAAAATACAACTTAGTGAAAAATTATTATTCAGGTATGATCAGAATCCTATAAAAACAATGCATGTATGCATAAGCTGTTTATATTTTTCTGTAAAATAAACTTTTTATCTGGATAATTGAATACTTTTAGTTCAAGATGCTTTTCGAGTTCGGACTACTTAATATACACAAATGTTGGTGAAAATTGCAGCACCATGATGGAATTATGCAAATTGAAACAAACTTACATGAAATGTAAAGTGAGTTAAGACATACAAATGATTAGAATTACAAAGGGATTATGCATGCATGAAATGAGAACTGGCAGTTGTAAAGGACTGTAAAGTTGTGCTGAAATCTGTTTATCATCCTCCGTCTGCAGTGAACATTTAATTTGTGCTCAGTATGCCTCGTCAACAGCGGAGGATGCCATACCAACAAGTTTGATCGAGGCCACATCGTCTGTATGCAAGATGGTGGACTTTCATATCAAACAATCACAGCCCACACGCAGCACAATGCCCCAATGTCACAACAGTGATGCATGTTTGGAAGAAATTGACAGCGAGAACCAAACAAGGTGAAATCCTAGCAATGGGGCACACAACAGCACAGGACGACAAACACCTCATCTGCATGGCTGTGATGGATTGTAGAGCATCCTCTCGTATGTTAGTACAATATTGGAGCACGGTTATAAGTGTTCGTCGCTGTCTGCTGCAACATGAACTGCACGCAAGGGTTCCTCTACACAGGATTGCCCTGTAGCTGAGTAACATATGCCTCCGACTTCAGTGAGCACTGCAACTCAGTGCGTGGCGTGCTCTGTGGCAACAAGTCGCTTTCTCTAACAAATCTTGATACAATCTGGAGTATAATGATGACAGAGTATGCATTATTCGATGCATTCCAGGCACTATATTTTAGGGGGAAAAATGCCTGTGCACAAGCCTTCTTTAAGGTACAACAGGTTTTGCATCTTCCCCAGATATGTTGCTCAATCAGCATGCCTAGGATTTCATCGGTCAGCGACTCGCACGTACAGCTAGTGGGGCACACACTGAAACTGAACTTTCACATCAAGTCAAAGCCATTCCCCAGGATTACATTCAGAACCTATACGATTCAATGCCACGATGTGTACAGGCTCTCGCTCAGCATGACAGAAACCCAAAGTACTGATTTTCCAACTTTTGTTTTTTTTCCTTTGTAAATGTGATCGTTTACTTGTATCACTATCGGTAATATGCGGAATAAATTTCATTCATTTCCGACAATTCCTTCATGGTGTTGCATTTTTCACAAACATTAGTGTGTCTACAGCTTCCAGTGCCTGTTCAGCATCCTCTCGTATGTTACTGAAGATAAATGACTAACTGAAGACAATTTTTAATCTCTATTGAAATGCCCGTAATGATTCATTGCTAAGCACAGAATCTTAAATAACACTTGTCACTCCTAGCGATGCCTCATTCTGCCTCTAGCCCATCATCAGAAAACTCCCATCAACCTGCTGTGGAGGAAGCTCCACGTTTATAAGATCATTGCCGTCACCTTCAAAGGCAGAATTACAGAAGATTCTGGGAATCTCACATTATCTTAAAATTTTTTCAAAGCTTTTCTCAAGCCTTTTCTTGTACAATGCAATCATAAAATGCTTGTTGAAATTCTACTCAGTATCAACTGTAATCTCCAAATGCGGCTTTATGAATTTGTGTCCATCATCTATACAAATTACACTGACCAAAAAAAAAAAAAAAAAAAAAAAAGCATTATCTAATTTTTAAAATTACATTATCTTTCGGCTATGCCGAACTGGATGACGAAAGGGGCAATTCTCAGAACCCGCACATTTCCAGGAAACCCATGTAGCTAGGTTACCATTTTCACTTACTACAAAGACAACGCCAAACAATAATCGATTATCGCTCAGATTGGGACCACGTGATCCTTCAGAAGCAGAACTTTCATCTGATTGGTTCATTTCTACCCGGACAGAGTTTCAGCTGAGACATTTTTGGCGAGGTTTGAAGAAATATCACATAGCCGCTACATTGTTTCTGTAGCTAGGTGGGATTCTTTTTTTTTCTAAGAATCCTCCCATTTAAACCAGTGCTACCAAAAATCTTGTTTCTCAGGAAAGTCCCGTCTAGCAGGGACTGTTGCTAGAAGTAAATAACCGCTTTAATCAACACTCACTAATAATATAGTAAAATCACAATGACCAAAATTAGCCTCAATCCACTATGTCTAATCCGTTTTCAAAACACATGTTTCGCTTTTGTGATAAGAGGAGAGTGGAATGTGGAAATGAACATGAGCTCAGCATAAGAGCGTATAGGTAGTGATCACTTTAGGTTTTCTACAAATGACATTCAGTGGATGAGTTGAATGTTGCCTTTTTTTCCCCTCCGAGATAGCTAGATGGTGTTACTAGGTGGCTTAAAGTACAGTCAAAAGTCTTTAATCCGGACCTCAAAGCTACAAACTTTCTGCACATGCTTAAACGCATCATGCGTTTACGCATGCGCATATGCGTTTAATGTATAATGGACGGTATAAGCTAAGCTAAAATTATCTATTTCAGTTAATGTTGCAGATTGCGTTGTTCCTTAATCTTCTAATTGGATCCGGCTTATTATTTTTTGCAGACTGTTAGAGCAATTTTATAAAAAGTAAGCTTGAACTTTCGATTATGTCAAAAAGAGTTTCCGATTCTGGAGATATCAAAGGATTTACAAGCGAAAGCATGTTTTGATGTCCATCAAACAAAAAGTGGAATTGCTGCAAAAAATGGTTAAAGGCATGAAGAAAGTGACAGAGAGGTGATTTGTTTCTCTAACCATTCCGAAATCTGTTTATCAATTTCGCGCTGCTCTGCGGGAGAGGGGGGGGGGGTACGTTGCAGCGCACAATGAACTGGAAGTTGATCTGTCAGCACTATCCTCATCTTCAGGGCAGATGTTTTTATTTTATTCGGCTTATAATTCCTCACTAAATGCAGTATTTCATCTCGATGTACTCCGTCTTTGATATGATTTAAATCAAATTCATCATTATAAATATCACGAATACACATGAAATAGTTTTCTGGTTGCAATTTTCTAATTTCGAATTTCTAACTATGCGTAATGTATGCTTTACACATGCGCACGTTGAAAGAAAAGTTTAATAAAGTAAACAAATAAATATTAAACTTTTTTTTTGTAAATTTTGATACCCTTTAGATCATAATTGCTCTTTATTTCATATTTTTAATTTTATAATTTCTGCATGCCATCTTAAAAGATTTAAACTGATGAGCTATAATACAAAAAAACCGATAATCCGAAATCGCCGAAGAGTCCAAATTAAAGACTTTTGACTGTTTATGATAACCAAATGAGCACCACAGCATTTAATGGGTTAATATATGACATAATTACACAGATTGGAATTTGCTAGCAAGTTTGCCCTTGAAACAGAAAAGAAAATTAAAAATCCTGCTCCAGAGGACATTCCAGCTGGCAACTTTATGAAATTTATATACTACTGTTACGAAATAATTTGATCCAGTTTTGTGAAATTAACAAAATATATGGCATTAATGAACTATACAATCATCTGATGCATATTTTAACTTTGAATGTCAAAACAGAATAGGGATTTTTTTTTTTTTTTTTTTTTTTTTGCACTGTGGCTGATTCTTACCTTTAGTCATAAAGATGATGATTATTATGATGCATGTTGCTTTATCGAAGACCTGCCAATGATGGATTACTATATTCCCCCCACTTTACAGTGCTGAAATTTATTAAAAATATTTCCCTCATTTTCCACTTTTTTCAATACATTATTAGAACGAGCTTTCCTATAGTTTAAAATGTATTTGTTGATGTGGTAATCATTGTCTTACTTACAAAGACAAAATCCCATAAATACATACAAAGGTTACATTGAACCTTTCTTCTCCTTGTAATTTTTTAACTTAACACAAGAACTGTTGAACCACAGTGAAGCAAACACGAACTGACATTCATTCTATGATTTCAGCTGCATACTCAACTTCTCGCCTAAGACTGTAGTTGGGAGACAAATGATGATGTTAGGCATGTCTACATTGACTTACACACTACACCAACAATGTTGTGAATTACATGCATAACTACCTGTACTACCACACACATGCAATTACAAAAATGCAACTATAATATTTGACATGGCATTGTGTCAAGAGATGGCAATATCTCTCGCCACACTATCTTATTTAAAAATAATCACAGCTGCAAATGGAATCCTGTTGTATAACTTTTTTAGGAGGGAATTCAATGATCTCGTCTAACATTTCTCTATCTTCAGTCATTAAAAAATTAGCAGTCTACGTATGAAGCAATAAAAAATGCAGCAATCATACAAAATTCATTAATTTGGATTAATACTGACAGAACAAGCACATCGCAGCGAAAGCCACTGTTTTTTGCTGCAATTTGTACATTCGTTACTTAATTTCGCTACAAATAACAGAATTGTTGATTGTAACTAGGTTTGTTTACAATAAAACATATAACGTTAGGTTTCTGATTTTAATATTACACGCTCTGGCTCGGCTGAGGACACAATGTTGATGTTTCTGGGTAAACATGCTCAATTAGAAGCATTATTAAAGGTGATATCTAATAATAAATGGTGCACACTGAGCAGGATAGTTTACAGAACATTTTATTTATTTGCTCAGCCAGATAATTAACATTACTGTTCATTTGATACAACAGAAATCATACAAAAAAAGTGTATATTTGTTCAAGAGAGCACACAAATACAAAGATATATCACATTTCGCAGTATTTAATAAGAAAATTGGGTGCATAAGTACATAAACGACACGAATTTTTTTTCCCCTTTCAACTGCACACACAAACTGATAAATTACATACAATTAATAAATAATTTTGTATTCAAAGTTAATTAAATATTTACAAAATCAAAAATAATTCTTACCTATACATTCAGAAATTCAGCAGAAAACGATTTATGGCGAATAATTGCCCTTTGTGCAAGAAAAAAAAAATAATGATTAAAATTAATTAAAAAAGACTATTTATTTAAGTGGAAAAGCATTAGAATTTTATTTCAACTTAAAAAGGAACAATAGCTATCACTTGTATACACACAACGAGATATAACTGGGTGTTTATGCAAGTCCAACCGTTGCAAGATAGTGTCACGTGACTGCGGTCGAATTCGAAAATATTACATCTCTAGGGAGAAAGACGCCTGCTTGCTTGGTCACATAAAATTTAAGAAAAAATGGTTATCCGCTGCAATGCCTATGAATGTAAAGAAAGTTTGTAAAAGGGGGGCCTGTAACCTTCATAGCTAAGTTAAAACTGCATTGATATTTATTATTTATTTCCAGTATTTTTGTCATTTTACTATCTCAGTTGAAATTGTTGGAAAGTTTCACCATATTGTGTTAGCTTCCTTTTGTAGTTAAATTAATCACTCGTAAAATGGTTGTAGTGTAAAAGACAAACATTTATTAAAGATAAATCTTAATAACTTACCGTACGTATTCGTAAACGTACATAAAAACGTACTACTGCATCGTACATTAAACATTTCAAGTGTACATCATCCAAATGTATATTTTTAAAATTATAAATAGAACGACACAGAAATTAGCTGTTGCCATTTCTCAATAGATATTTGTTATAACAATTAAATAATTACAATCGTGCTTACATTCGACCACCTGACTTTTCAATTGTCCTCAATTGACCAAATATTGTCGTACATTAAAACAACAAAATATAATAAGTAGGTAGGAAAAAAAAAAATAAAATATAATTTAAAAAAAATTCTATGTCCTACACAAAGTCTTTATAGCGCAATGGTTTGCGCACTATTCGCTTGGGCCATTTAAGTTCGTCGTCAACCTCGTCATTATCATTATCTTCTGTAGTTCTGGAAATGATGGCCTCCGAAGATCTGTTTTTAGCACGTGAATCAGCTTGGTGGGTCTTCCGACAACCCATTTTTGATCTGTAAAGTGGACAAGATCTAGAGCCTTGACCGCGTGGTTGACTGCATTCAGTGTCATTCCTATGATAAAGGATTTTGCTTTTAAAGCACTTTTGATAAAATCGTCTAGGATTCCAGTGATTGTCTCTTCCACCTCCTGAAACTCTTTCTTCGTTTTTTCTTTCATTTTGTTCATCTTCATTTCCATCACATCCAACGTTTCGTGGAAGTCCTATGAATATATAACTACAATATTGCCTGAAGTAAGGATGACGTAATTGCCTTCGCACGAGCCTTTGAGGTTGTAGTTGCTGCTTATCATCTACATTCTTTTGGCTCTGACTACCATCACTTTCGTCATTCTGTCTTTGCCTTGGCATGAAGTGGTGTTTAGAGAACAGTTGGCCACAGTGTCGATTTCTATTTGCAGCATAAGTACTACTTTTCACCGAAGTGCGATTCAGTCCAATCAGATTAGCAGCTTCATTCCTCTTCTCTCGAGCAACTTCAAATTCACCATATCCTACACTTCGAACGGCACTTTTCGTATTGTTTTTCTTTACTGGAGTTTAGTGAACGAATGTATCTTCTTTAGTGTCCATTTTTATGAACTCAGTGCACCTGAGTTCTGAAATATTTAGTGCGAAGCTATCTCTGTATTCATTCGAAAGATGCAATAACACTTGCTGGTGATCAACGTCGAGTTCCGAGCCAATTTTAACTTGGCTTAAATTTATAGGAACTTTTATGCTGTCAATATTTCCCGTTTTTGCTAAGTTCGAGCTCAATCCAGAAATTTCAGTATTTAAACATAGTTCAACTTCTGCTCTCCCAACGCATTGATCTTTTTGGAGCTTAAGACTTCTATCACCAGCATGTTAATCCACTTGTTATATAAGTTTTGCCATTTTTAATTTCTAATAAACAGCTTATACCTTCGGAAGGATTTTCTTATCATTAATTAATCCATTATCTACAGAATCTGTTTGAGAACTGGACAAGACTGATCGTATTTTTCTCTAATTCATTTGCCTCAATAGCTTTAAGGCAGACTCGATTTACTTTTTCATCAATTTGTAGGTTACTAAATAGTTCATCTTCTCTATACCTGAAGTGAAAATCTTGTTTCCTATTCTGACATAAGCGAATGTGAGGGGAGATTAAGCCATGTCCGTCCGATGATTAGATCAACCTGGCTGTGCATTATCAGAAACAAGGTATATATTTATGCCTTGGCCTTTTTCCTTATCAACTTCAATATTGGCTTTAATTCATTCCTATGGAGGTCACTTGCAGGCACCCTTTGATTTCCAAAACCGTACAATTCATTCATAGCAGGTTCTGGTTTCACTTTAAGTTTCTGAGCAACTGAAGTCCTTAAGCGACAACAAGAACTCCCCGTATCAATTAAAGCCTGCACTTCTTCAGAATTATTCAGTTTTGCTTTCTTCAAATACGAATTGCTCTCTTCTATATTTTCGCCAACTTGCTCAACAGAATATTTTTTATCATTTGAATGATTATTTTCAGCTTTAGTAGCTTATGCCTTATTTTAGCTTTATGACCTGTTTTATTACATTTTCGGCATGTTACTACTGGTTTGGGCAGCGGGATGTGTCCGAAATTATTACAGCTGAAGCATTTTGGTTCACCTTTTTCATTATGTGTGATAGCGTAGTTTTTTCTTTTCGTTCATTGTAGCAACTGGACCATCTTTAAAAGAGTTTCGTTTGTCGTAAAACCCTTATTTACGCGGTTGTTTATTGTTGAAAGTTGACTTCAAGGTATCATAATCATCTAAAATGTTCTTTTACTTCTGGAGACACTTTACGTTTTATCTGATCCGCTGTCGCTAAGTTTCTCAAAAGTATCTACTTTAAGCCAAACAAATGAGTAACCCATGTATTTTCTGGTATTTCAACTCGTTAAGCCAAACGTTCAAACATGATTAAATATAAACTGATATCATTCTCGTCAGGTTTAAATTTTTGCATCAAACGATAAAGCTGTAACTTTGGATTTATGTGCGTAACACTAGCATTTTGATTGGTGTCAGAATCTGTAGATCTAATTTCTGCTTCAATACGTAGATTTTTGCAGTTCAAATTCCATTTCATACTTTCCGCTCCTCATATTCTTCTTTTTGCTTACATTCTTCAATTTCTTCTTGACGTTTTCATTCTTCAGTTTCTTCTTTTTGCCTATGTTCTTCATCTTGAAGTTTTCATTCTTCAGTTTCTTCTTTTCGCCTATATTCTTCATCTTGACATTTTCATTCTTCAATTTCTTCTTTTCTTTCATTTGTTTTAATGGTCAACCATTCTTTGGCACATTCTTCATCGTACTCTTTGCTAGCCAAAATTATCTTTTTCAAATCGCTCATTTTATAACTCTCATTACATCTTCTCCAAATTCTTCAGCTAATATCCTAAATCGATTTTTTGCCTTACGAAAATAGACATTTACTCATTAAAATGCAAATATACATATATACGCTACTATTATTAACTTCCAATTAGACAACTTAGTAGAACACAGTTATTGGTATTTTATAAGTTTGTTTGACGTTCTAAATAAATTTCAAAATTTAAAGAAATGAAAATAATAAACTCTCTTTCCAAAATGATAAAAAATATAACAAAATTAAATTCTATAATAAATATGTTACATCAATTAATGCACATACCTTGAAATTCAGATTCTTTTCAATTTATTTACGTAATAGCAAATTCTTGTAGCTTTAGGCTTAGGTTTCAGAATAATCCCGCTTCTGATTTATGTTAGCTTCCTTTTGTAGTTAAATTAATCACTCGTAAAATGGTTGTATTAAAAGACAAACATTTATTTAAAGATAAATCTTAATAACGTACATAACAAACCTACTTACTGCATCGTACCATTAAACATTTCAAGCGTACATCATCTGAATGTATATTTTTAAAATTATAAATTAAACGACATCCAGAAATTAGCTGTTGCCGTAAAATTTTTTGAACTCATTTCGTAACAACGACGTATTAAGAAAATTTGTAGCACGTGAAAAAAAAAAAAAAAAAAACCCGAATGTGACAATCCACGCTCGCTGAGTAATTCTACAAATTCAGCGCATTGGATTGGCTGGTTTAGCGGCGAGTTTGGAGAAACCGCAGGTTACTAGATTCGAAGTAGTCGGTAGTTGGCGGTAAAACACGATGCAATTGGCGAAAAATTCTAAAATTTCGACAAAAATCACTAAAAATACTTGAAAAAGGAAAAAAAATCGTAAAAAATGGATTACGATCGAAAATCGTAAAGACAAACGTATTTTCGTAAAAATTACGAAAAATTCGTAAAAGTTGGCAGGTATGTTTATTGCATATTTTGTAGTTGCTTTGAAATGAAATATTAAAAGTGATTTTCAGGCTTTCTGTTCAAAAATTACATAACACTTGATGAACGAGTGTTATGTAATTTTTGAATAGAAAATTTTTTTTTTTGCATTTACTAGTGCATTTAAATTTTCCAGTTATATATATTCCATATTGCTGTACATAACTAAAAGGCAGATATGAAAGAATTTGATATAAAAATGACATTTTACCTTTTAATCATAACATGCAGAAAGAATCATAAATGCACAATTTACAAATACATATGAGTAAAGAAAGTGAGATCGCTGAGCAAAGTAATGGAGTGCACTAAAAGTATATAGATATATCTTTATATACTTTTAGTGCGGCCGAACGCAACCAAAATACGAGGTGCACATCTACATGTTATACCAGTCCTATATACAAAATTTCAACGTTCTGAGGCTAATCGTTTCAGAGTTATGCGAGATACATATGTACAGACACCACAAAAAATTCTCTTCAGAATTCATTTTAAAGCAGTTTTATAATTTGTTTGGAGGAAAAGTCTTCTATTCTGTCCTAGCGCACAGATGTCATGCAAAAAAATTGTTAAATTGCATTCAATAGTAGTCAAAATGGATATTTTCGTTAAATATTGCTGCATGAAACTTTTCGAGATTAGAATACTTAAACGCAGCAACTAACATAACCTAGGGGATTTCTTGGGAGCATTGAAAGAACAAATCTACGCAAAGGTCTCATATAGTGACAAAACCAAGTTTCTTACCCTCTGCAACAGATAACAGAATAGTGATACATCTATAAAAGATAATAGCATTTAATTCAGAATAATTATTTTCTTATTAATAAAAACCGACAGAGAACATATGAATACCCAGGCAGCATTGAGAGGACAAATACATCAACATTACGAAGTTCTAGCTATGTTAAGAATTTACATTTCCCTTGCAACGTTATGTAACTGAAGACAGGAGACGGAGTCATCTATAATAGATGACAGCGTTTAAGTCACTACAATTACTTTCTCCTCATTGATAAAAACCAACAAAACATGAAGCTCTTTTGGCAGCGTTGAGAGGATAACTCAATATAATATATAACAGACGGTCTTGTGAACTAAGAAGTCACATTTCCCATGTTATGTAACTGAAGACAGGATACTCAAGTCATCTATAAGAGATAACAGTGTTTAATTCAGTTGAATTACTTTCTCCTCATTGATAAAAACCAAGAGAACATGAAGCTCTTTTGGCAGCGTTGAGAGGATAATTCAATATAATATATAACACACGGTCTCGTGAACTAAGTCACATTTCCCATGTTATGTAACTGAAGACAGGATACTGAGTCATCTATAATAGATGACAGCGTTTAATTCACTACAATTACTTTCTCCTCATTGATAAAAACCAAGAGAACATGAAGCTCTTTTGGCAGCGTTGAGAGGATAACTCAATATAATATATAACAGACTGTCTCGTGAACTAAGAAGTCACATTTCCTATGTTATGTAACTGAAGACAGGATACTGAGTCATCTATAATAGATGACAGCGTTTAATTCACTACAATTACTTTCTCCTCATTGATAAAAACCAAGAGAACATGAAGCTCTTTTGGCAGCGTTGAGAGGATAGCTCAATATAATATACAACACACGGTCTTGTGAACTAAGAAGTCACATTTCCCATGTTATGTAACTGAAGACAGGATACTGAGTCATCTATAATAGATGACAGCATTTAATTCACTACAATTACTTTCTCCTCATTGATAAAAACCAACAGAACATGAAGCTCTTTTGGCAGCGTTGAGAGGATAACTCAATATAATATATAACACACGGTCTTGTGAACTAAGAAGTCACATTTCCCATGTTATGTAACTGAAGACAGGATACTCAAGTCATCTATAAGAGATAACAGTGTTTAATTCAGTTGAATTACTTTCTCCTCATTGATAAAAACCAAGAGAACATGAAGCTCTTTTGGCAGCGTTGAGAGGATAATTCAATATAATATATAACACATGGTCTCGTGAACTAAGTCACATTTCCCATGTTATGTAACTGAAGACAGGATACTGAGTCATCTATAATAGATGACAGCGTTTAATTCACTACAATTACTTTCTCCTCATTGATAAAAACCAAGAGAACATGAAGCTCTTTTGGCAGCGTTGAGAGGATAGCTCAATATAATATACAACACACGGTCTTGTGAACTAAGAAGTCACATTTCCCATGTTATGTAACTGAAGACAGGATACTGAGTCATCTATAATAGATGACAGCGTTTAATTCACTACAATTACTTTCTCCTCAATGATAAAAACCAAGAGAACATGAAGCTCTTTTGGCAGCGTTGAGAAGATAACTCAATATAATATATAACACACGGTCTCGTGAACTAAGAAGTCACATTTCCTACGTTATGTAACTGAAGACAGGATACTCAAGTCATCTATAA